CATGCTCTTTCAACTCGTGTCCATCAGAGGATTGATACAAAGAGGAAGATCAGACAATCTTCGATGTAAGACTACAAACAGCAAGAGCAATCAATCTTCGAAGCTTAGCAAAGCCGCAGCAATGGACGTGACGCTTGGTGCCAAGAGGCGCTGCCGTGACTGGTCGGGCGTTGCCGTGATGCTGGACGCTCCCAGAGAACGAATTTTCGGATGGTCCAGGCAAATGAAATGATGATTACTCAAAGACCACAAGTCGGGGCACGGCGCCCGACACACCGGCGACACCTCTTCTCCGACCTCCAGCGCAATCTCCAGTCGAGTTTTGCCACGCATATGTTATACGTGTGATCAAACAAAAGCATGAGAGTTTGAAGAGCGTAATGCCATACTAGCACACTTGTGATTGGCGCCCTTCCAGCGTGTCCTTGAAGGGTCGAGCGTCTTGAAACCACCAGTCGCGGTTGGCACCAAGCGTCACGTCCATTGCTGCGGCTTTGCTAAGCTTCGAAGATTGATTGCTCTTGCTGTTTGTAGTCTTACATCGAAGATTGTCTGATCTTCCTCTTTGTATCAATCCTCTGATGGACACGAGTTGAAAGAGCATGAGACATCGACACAACTCCATTTGCTCCACCACCAACAACCATGGGCCAGGCTTCTACGACGATCGTGGCGACGACGGGCTCATGCACCAACATCGTGAGCAACCCTACCGTCAACGCCGGTTCGTGCAAGGGCTCGTGGAACCCATCCGCGGGCGTCTGCACCATCCAGCAGCCGTCGGCCACGTCAGGTAGCTGCACCAACGGTGTGTGGGTGTGGGGTCCCAACTACGGTCCGCTCGGCGCCGCGTGCGCGTGCGTCAGTGGCGCGGGGTGTCCGTCGAGCAAGCTTTGCACCGGGTGCCTCAAGAACGGGGTGTGTTCGGGGGACTTTACGACCGCGTCCGAGTGCAACACGTTTGCCAGCGCCAAGTGGTGCGGCGCCTAAGCGCAACAAGGTCTGACCAAAAGGCGCGTCCGCTTCGGATGCACAGTCGAGCGTCCAACGCGTGGTCAGCCAGCAATATGTCTTTAATGTACCTCAAAATACATTGTTCTCGCGATCGACAGTGCACTCATGCGATAGACTTGAGCCTCTCATTAGCGCTTACGAAGGTTAGGTCTATTTGGTTCTCTAGTCGAAAGCACAACTAGTCGACAAGGTTGCGACTAGATTTGAGTTGGTATCTGCGCTACAATTTTGAGATTTGCTGGCTGACCAGCTCCCAACCGCCGGAAGCGGCGACAGCGTTGATCATCCGCAATGCCCTGTTCCTTGCACAGGTTTTGGACGCACCGGTGCGAGAGCAAAACTATCGCGCCGTCTGCTGCAAGCTCCACTGCTGCTCGCTAGGATGTCGAGCCGGTCAGCATTCCAAGCGTGCTCTGCATGATGCGGAGTCTCGTTGAGAGTGCGCTATAAGGAAACACGTATTCCCTTCGGTCGCTCCGACTGTCGT